CCACCCCCACCAACACTGGCAGGGCATGCCACTGTATATAAAAAGAGAGCAAACCCCACTCCATTCTAGCACTGAAGATGTTACCTAGCTGGGTAACGAAACATTTGCAAGAAAACAGCCAAGCTCAGAGAACTCCAGGGACTCCACAGTCCAACCCTGAGCTACACATATTCTCTTCCATTGGTACATTTTGCATGCTCACAGTACTCTGATATGTAACACCACAAATCTCCTTCATAATAAAGTAAGTATTGTCATCAATTCAATACTAGGTAGTGGGTAGGACTAACTGATGCAAACTGTTTCTAGATTTGTCCTTTATATAGCACACCAGTGTGATTTAAACAAATTGAAGTATTCTTTTCTTCCTTAAATTTATAGTAAAGAGTTATGGTATTACTTCACAGTCTGTGTGAATTCATATCCACATTGAGTTACCAAATGCTTGGGACTGAACCTTGAAGTAACAGTACCTAGCCAATAACATAGTGAATCCATTGAGGAATCAGGTGGGCACTGAGACCCAGGGCAGAGAGATGCAGGTGGTAGAGACTGGCACCAGACAAAGAGGTAGCAACTTACCAAGTGGCACAGTCTGCCTGTTTCCCCAAGAACATATGTCTATTTATGAGTTATAGTTACGTTGTTTTAGTGTGCACAGAACCCCCTCTTCTGTCACCATTGCCTCCTTCATCTGTGCCATATATGAAGGAACCATGAGACTGCCCTATTCTTTCTGTGGAGCTACTACTAGACTAGTGCTGGTAGCAGGACAGCTAGTCAAGCTGCTGCCAGCCTCCTCTCCCTTCCCCTGGCCTTTCCCAGAATACTGCAGCCTTCTGGACACAAGTCAACCAATAACAATGGGTAAGAATGTCCCTTTAACTTTAAGGTGGGGAAGCCTGCCTTTCTGTAAAAAGAGTCAAGCTGTAGTGTGTCTACCACGCTAACTCTGCCTGTAGTGTGTCTACCACTGTCCACCACCCTCCCCTTGCGGAGTCCCACCAGCTACACACATTGTGAGTTATGGGAAAAGAAACTGAACTGGGACAAAAGTGGTTAAGGAAGGATTCTTACTGTATATGTACACACATCCACATAATAGTAGGGCTGATGGATGGGTGAAGAGGACATAATTTACAAGACAAAAGGACAAACACACACAACAGTACATTACAAATTAAAAATAGTACTGAAAGAATGATTGATTAAATAAGCTGAACAAAAATTGAGAAATCAAATTATTATCTTTGGAATAAATTATGACAAAGGAAGAGATAGTGAAGGTGCAGGAACAAAGAAGAATGGGAAAATACTATTTAGTTTTCTTTTCCCAGTTTTTGTAGCATGTGCCCTGCTGTTCAGCCCAAAGGATTTGACTCGGGCAAATCAAGGGAAAGATGCATATTCCACCATGAGGGAGTTGAAAGGTACCCAAATTGCCCCATTCCACATCACATTTGGAGTTCATCTGAATTGGAGCGCATCCATAATTGAAATAACTTACCCTGATTCCTCAAATGTTTGAGTTATAGCAGGTGAAGTGGAAGATACCTTAGGTAGAGACAAATAGTTCCCAATTAATTGTGACACTAAGTACATGACTTACTAAATAGCAACCACATAGGAGAAGTGTGGATTGAACACTTACATTGGCGAAAGAGAGGAAGCTTAACTTCCTGAAGGCCTGATCCAGAGACCTTTGATTGCAACAGCAATGAGCGGGAATTCAGAATAGGATCAGGGCAAGCCATAAAATCCCTTCCCTCTCCCAATACTTGTTCTTGATCCCATTGGCTAATACCTAATAAACAAACACCAATCACTCAAGAATCAGATCTACTGTATGCTAAAGGCACATATAGTTTGCTAGGTCTGAAAGATTTTTCGATATTTGCCCCTGCACTAACTCTTCATCATCAAGAAATGTGGTGAGTGATTGCAAGCTTCTTTGAGATGTCCTCTTGGAATAAGTACATCAGCTTTCTAGCTGTGTCTTCTGCATTATGGAAATTATTGCAGTGAGGGAATTGATATAGAACTTGTTACGCAGGGGAAACGATCTGGACATTTTCCTTAAAAATCAAAGTTGAAGGCTTTGGGAGTTTCAGCTGTACATCTTAAACAAATGCATTTTACACAAAGATCCATTACATTGAAAGGACTCCACCAACAGGCCCGTGCCAAATAATCAGAATCCCTGTTTCTTCCTAGCAATTTCACCTGCCCTAGGCTCCTACCTTGCCTTGTGCATAGAAATTCTTGTCCTGCTATTTTCAGTTGAAAATAAATGTCAAGAATAAAATTATATGGTCTTGATGAGATAGTATGCCTAACATTTTATTAGGATTTCCATGCTTGACTGCATTTTCATTTGTGCCTGTATGCATGTTCTACTTTTTTCATTTTGTTAATCTATTCTTTTATTATTAAAAATAACATCTGATTCATTATTCATTAAATAAAAGCAGGACATTCGTTTTGCTTCCCTTTTTGTTCACCTGTACAGCCTGCTTACCATGGTGCAAAGAAACCCCACCAATTGTTTTTCAAGGACATATCCTCACAACGTAGCCTCCATCTTATTGCTATCCTGCTACTGAGGCTGACCAAAGTGTCACAGCTGAAACTACTGTTTCCCCTCATATTGCAAGACAAGTCCTCTTATGTGGACACTCTAGGGCACATGGAGGAGGAGCCTTCATCGGTCAGCAAATTGCTGAGCTTCAATTAGTCCTGCAGGTCTGTTCTGAGACCACCCCTCTTGTCCATTTGCTGGGTTCTGTGCCTCCATAAACATTTTTATTGCAGCTGTGAGAGAGATTGGACATCTCTCTCACTTATAGAGTCTAATCATTCTTATTTTGGAGGATTTGGACATGGGAACATTGACTGAATACAGGTCTACCAGAGGGTCAATATTCCAGTTGAAAAGCAAAAATAAAACTAGCTGTTTCAATTGCCCTTAGCATTATTAGGTTCATAAATTAATAAACTATTTGTGCCACTTTGAGCAAAAGGGCCTGATCACTGTTACCCATGGATTGCCATGGG